TAAAACATAATCAAACGAAGTCGAAATATATATAAAAAAAATTTTTACTTTAAAATATTTTATTATATTGTAAGAAACTGCTGCAACACATAATTTTCATACCTCCTCCCACTCTATGCTGAATCACTCTTATATAGATATATATAGTAGGGATATAAGAAAAAATACTTTTATATAAAAAAAATAAAAAAATATTTTACAAAAAGTTACTTTTAAGTACAAAATTTGAAGAAAAAAGAAATAAAAAGAATTTTAATTTTTGTTGTTCACATTATAATTTTTTTCAATTTAAAACTCTTTTCTCTTAATAATTCCAAACAGAAACTTAGATTTGATAATTTTTTTCTGTGTAGTTTTACGTTATAAATAATAGTTTTTTCAATTTAGAATTCTTTTTAATTTTTTTCTTCAAATTTTTTATTATTAATCAGTATTTTTTAATCGTTTGAGATAAAATTTAATTTTCTAGTAATAATTCAATATATAAAATGATGAAAAAAAACATATTCACTTCGTGCATGGAGAAAAAAATTTCATTCATACCACATAATTTATTTTTGAGCAAAATGATGTATTGAGAAAATTGTTTCGAAAAAAGAATAAATGTAATAAAATAATTGATTTTTTAAAGAAAAAACGACGTATACGCATTTTTAACACATACGTTTAATCTCCGTTTAACTATTTTCGGTAGTTATTTAGATCATCTGATATCTCTACGATGTAGTTCTCAAAATGAGTTTCGAGAGAATGTAAAATATTTATCGATTCGACTATCGTACAATCATCGATAAATTTTTAAAGTTAGCTTGTTATCGAAAATTTCGAAATAGAAATAAAATATTTGTTTTTAAAAAAAAAAGACTTATGGGTATTTTTTAACACATACATTTAATGTCCGTTTAACTATTTTTGATATCTATTTAGATCATTCGATGTCTCTATGATATAATTCTCAAAATGAGTTTCGAGAGAATGTAAAATATTTGTCGATTTGACTATCGTACAATCGTTGATGAATTTTTAAAGTTAGCTTGTTATCGAAAATTTCGAAATATAATTTTAAAATGCCCACTTTGACGTTCATAACATTTGCTAAGATTGACCGTTTCACGCACCGTTAACGACGTGCAATACTATGTCGCGAGTATTTCAAAACGATATTAAGAATGTAATATTTCGATTTCGTTTGAGATGAGCCTGAAAATGAACACAAAAATATAAGTATAAAAATAAAATAAAATTATTTCTCTCTCCGTGCACGGAGACCTTTTGGTCTCCGTGCATAGAGTCCTTCCTAATTTTGGTCTCCGTGCACAAAGTCCTTCCTAATTTATTTTTTTCGTTCCTCCGTGCACGGAGATATTACTTTTTTTTGTTGTGTAGTTTTACGTTATAATTTTTTTTTCAATTTAAAATTCTCTTTAATTATTTTCTCTTCAAATTTTTTACTTACAAGTAATATGTTGTAAAAAAAATTCCGTCGCATATTATCTCTATCTTTTTTTTTATATAAAAGTGATTTTTTTCTTATATCCCTACTATATATATCTATATCGGAGTGGGGGAGGATTGAAAATTGCATGTTGCAATAAATTTGAAGGTAGTGTATAATAAAATAAAATATATATCAAGCAAACGGCGTCGTTTTTGGCCCCCAATTGGAAAAAAAATGCTGCAATAAAGATAGATCAAGACAGTGTTGCTTTCTATTGTGCCCTCACATTCCCCTTTTTATATAGTAGGGAAAGGAAAGAGACTAAGCACTTGTTTGACTCTCATTTTTCTAAAAATTCATTTTTTTAAACTCATTTTCAACCACACATTTTAAAAAAAATAATATTACACACAAATTCAAAACTTTTCATTAATTTTTAACCATACATACTCCATCAATCTATTATTCAAAATACATTATTTCTCCAAAAACGGGAATCAAACAAGGGCTAAATGATTTAACAAATTAAAGTAAAAAAAAAATTGCAGGCAAAAATAGAAAACAAAACACAAAAAGATTATTATAAAGTTTGTTAATTAAATTGAAATAATTAAAATTAAAAATAAATATTATCTTTTTAATTAAAATTGAAAAAATTTCGTTTTATCATAAAACGAAAATAAATTAAGTAAAAGAAAGTTACAAAAATTAAATAAAAAATATATAAATATTATTTAATTAAAATTGAAAAAATTAAGTTTTATCATAATAGAAAAGAATTAAAAAGAATCTTAAATAAAAATAATAATTATCTAATATATGAACAAAACAAAATAAAAAATAAATGAGAAAAAAAGGAAAAATCTCTTATTTCTCTCCATCCCATGAAAAGTTTTCTCCGTGGAATCCAGGAAGGAGAGTTCTCCATTCAGCATAGGATGGAGGTTGGTTTTCTCCAACTCCGTCGTGGATGGAGAAAACCTCCATCTTGGATGGAAGTTTAGGTTCGGAGGTTTAGAAACCTAAACCTCTAGGGCCAGGATTGAGGTTTGGTTTAAAACCTCCGTTTGGATTGGTTGGAAGTTTAGGTTCAAAGGTTTAGGAACCTAAACCTCCAGGACCATGATTGAGGTTTGATTTAAAATTTTCGTCCTCCATCCAGGATGGAAGGTTCTAAAAGGAACCTTGAAAACCTCAATCCTGGATGGAGAGAGAAATATGAGATTTTATTTTTCGTTTTTCTTTTTTTCCTCAATTTTTTATTTGTTTTTGTTTATGTTATAAATATTTTTTTCGATTTAAAATTCTTTTTAATTCTTCTTTTCATGATAAAACTTAATTTTTTCAATTTTAATTAGATAATGTTTCCATCCTGGATGGAGAAACTCTCCATTTTTAGTGATTGCATTTTGATGAATTTTATGTACTCTCCGCACGACGCGATACTACGACAAATAAATCCATTTAAAAATTGGTAAATGAAAATTACAATTAATCCATTTAAAAGTTGGAAAAAGGGGAAAAAGATTTCTCCCTGGCAGGATGGAGGTTTAAACCAAACCTCCATTCTGGATGGAGGTTCTAGAATGGAGAAAAATAAGAGATTTTATTTTTTCGTTTATTTTTATTTTGATTTTTCATCATTTATTTTTCCTTTTTTAAATTTGTTTTGTTTATGCTATAAATTTTTTTTTCGATATAAAATTCTTCTCAATTCTTCTTTCCGTGATAAAACATAATTTTTTTTTCAATTTTAATTAATAATGTTTGAGAATCTCTCCATTTTCGGTGATTGCATTTTGATGAATTTTATGGACTCTCCACGCAGCGCGATACTACAACAAATCAATCCATTTAAAAATTGGAAAAAAAAGAAAGAAAAAATTTCTCCAAAAATTGTGCTCCGTGCTGCACGCACTATTTGTGCACTCTCCACGCAGAATGGAGGAGCGTGCTATTCTAAATCCTACAATAGGTCATTGCACATAAACAAGATTATAAATTACTTTTTTCTTTCTTAACATTGTTCATCCAATCTACTCGATAAGACATGCACAAAATCCACAAAATTTCCACTATTTCTAGACTTAAGAAGACATGTTTTCCATGAAATATGCAAGAAAAAAGAATTTTTAAACTTTAAAATGAAGCAGGAGAAGAGCACGGACCTAGGTATTGAACTAATTACTTTAGAGACGAATTTTACCCCAAACAAATCTCCCTCTTTGAGTCCATCCAAAAATAGCACAATTTATTCCTCTCTCCTAATCTCGTCTAATAATCACTATTCAATCTCTGCATTCATTTAATATGAAAGCAAGTGTGAAATTTACGAACATTTTCTCACCGTTAGCTGAATAATTTCAAAGTAAGAGAAATTAATTTCAATAGCATAGTTCTTACAAAATTATTTCAGAAATTAGAATTCACCATCATCTCGAAACTATCTTTGAACAAAACTAATACCATGCCCTTTCATGCAAACCTAAAATGAAACATGAATGATGATTAATTCAAAATCAGATGAAGATGAATCACACACAGCACACTCTTAGTGATTGATAAACAACATTTATGTATTATTCTGTAAATTTTTAAAGAACCATAACACAGGACACTCAACTTACAGGCGAGCCTCCGAAAAAATTCTTCTCCTTCATGCTTTCGACACTTTTTTTGATGGTTTCTTTAAGAGGCCTTCTCGTTTGGAATGAAAGATTTGTTGAAGATGCGTGACGATAGTGTAGAAAAATGGAGAAATGGTGTTTCTTTGTTAGATTGAAATGAATTGAGAAAAGGTGAAGGCATGGCTGTATTGAAAAATCGTGATTTTACTAATTTTGTGTAAAAAAAAAATGAAAACAAAAGAGGAAAATTCGTACAGGACGATGTATTTTATTGACACGTGTTCAATCCATTCATTCGCTCTTTTATATATGTTGGATATTTGTTGCATTTTGAATGTCACGTCCATCTCCCATTATTGCGAGTTTCATAGTTGGGGAACCCTAATGATGGAGCCTAAAAATATGTTGAGGATGTTTTGATTATATATATATATATATATATATATATTTTTTTTTTTTTTCTAAACAAATATTTGGATATCATAGTAATAATTTGCAATGAGTTGAACTAATACATTGTTTGATGTCCATTATTTGTTTACAACAATATTTTGAATAGTGAATTTTTGAAGAATGTGTAGCTAAAAGTAGAAAAAACTTTGAGTTTACGTCAGAATATTTTTATTGTTAAAAAATGATTACGTAGATTAAAAATTTTTGAAATAAAATATGCAAATTTCCCATTTGAAAATAAAAATTGGACAAATAATTTCTTCCGTCCCTTTAAAAGGGTGTATATTTTTCTTTCATCAGTCTGCAGCTGCAACTGTGGACACCTTCTAAAACCCTAAAAAATAACACACACCCATTACTCCACCCTCTTTCTTCTCTCCATCTAAACCTAATCATAATTCAAAATCAACATCTACCTCTATATCTATATTATTTATGGTTATGGAGTCGAATTACAGCCCAGTGGAGGCTCTGATGTCCGTTGCTCCGTTAATTACAACGTCGTCCACGAAGATGCGCATTCAGATCTTCCGCCATCAAATTCCTTCTATTCTTAACAATTTAGGTAAAATTTCTGATGCCCCCTGTACAACTTGTCAACATACACTTGCACAGAGACTTGTATGAATATGTTATTGAGAAACGTGTGTAATGTTCAAGTGTTAATGGGTTTGAAAGATCATATCATATGCTGCCTGTGAGGAGAAATTTTCATTTCTAGGCACAGTGCAAATGCTGAAGCTCGTGTAAGCTGTTTTTAGCATGTTTAGCTTAGCTTACAAGCCAAATGAGAATTCAATTTGGCTTTTCTTGGCAGTATGAATTGTCATACTGCGGAAAGAACCAATTTTTGGCTTCTTTTTAATCATTTAAGCCAAGCCAAACCTGATAATTGCGCCCCTAGAACCTGTTACCGTGTTGTGCCTGCTGCTTCAAAGCTTCTACGAAATTCTACGCATCATGCTGCTTTGAAGCTTGTATGAATTTCAGTGCCATTTTATATTAATCCTTTTGTTTCTGTCGTTTTTCGTCAAAGCTTGTATCTCCTCTCCTCTGCAGTGAGAGCAATGTTTAAAAATGCTTAGTATGGCACAAGGTATTTTACTGAGAGGCAAGTGCTGAGCCTTAAGAAAAACCAATAAAATAATTTGAGGAATATAAAAAATGCAAAAAATATGCTCGTAATAAACCTTAAGTCATCTTAAAAAGTCCGCAAGGAAATTAGTTAACAAAATAAAAAATTTATCTTGGAAATAAACATAAAATAGATTAATAAAATAAAAAATAATAAGTTTTCAATTTAGTATTTAAATAACTAAGTTATAATCTGTTACTAGAATTTGAAACAACATCTAAATCCTCGACATAATCACTCGATAGAATGAACAAAAAGTAGCTTTACATCGGGTGCATGATGCACAATCTTTAGCCTTTTTTGGATAACCAAAATGATTGTCTGCAACTATTGTTTAAACTTACTGACACAATTCTTCAGGCTCTGCGCAGATGACTACCGAGTTTGCATCTCTGTTGGTTGATTTACTTTTCCAAACACTGTCTATTTATGATGACCGTCGGTCGAGAAAACCTGTGGATGACGTGATTGTAAAAGCTTTCGGCGAAGCTCTTTTCATGAAAAGTTTTGCAGCAACTCTTGTACAGGTTATGGAAAAGCAGTCAAAGTTCCAGTCACCGGTAGACTGTTACAGGGTTCTGACGTGGTCTGTTCTCCTATTAACTGAAAGTCAGTTTGCCTTGTTATCAAAGAATGCATTATGCAGAGTAGTACAAGCCCAGGCATCAGTGATCCATATTGCTATGCAAGGATCATTCCGTGTCAGAAGGCGTTGCAAGAAAATCTTTTTTCACTTGTTCACAAAGGTCTCATCCCTACCAATTTATGGTTTTTAATGTTACTAGATTGTTGATGTTCTATTTACACTAGTTTCGATGATATTTATATACTTTTAATGTTGTGTTGTGTTGTGTTGTGCCGCTCAGTCACCTGATCTTCTCAAAACTTACATGGAAGAACTGAAAGGTTCGAGGATCCCATATAAGGATAGTCCTGAGTTAATACAACTGATACTTGAATTTACGATTTCAAATCCCACATTTTTTGATATATGGAAGGTAAAATTTGCCTTCCTAGTCTCTTTATACATCGTAGCACAATTGTTGTTTTGGATCCTGAAATTTTGGGGGTTCTTGTTGTCAGCGGATTTTATGCCCTTTAGCATTCATGTGAAATATTGTTTTGCTTCTGTTGCACAGAAAATATTTCTTGATATGTACGTTAAAGCAGTTCTAAATGCGAGGGAGAAGCCCACAGATGGCCTCAGTGAAGCTTTTGCTCCATTATTCGCTGATTTATCGCATGAAGATTTTAAAAACATTGTCCTCCCATCATCTGTCAAGATGTTGAAACGGAATCCAGAGCTTGTGTTGGAATCAATTGGAGTTCTTTTGAAAACTGTCAAAATTGATTTGAGTAAATATGCCGTTGAAATTCTTTCAGTGGTGTTAACTCAGGCTAGACATGCAGATGAAGGCAGAAGATTTGCCGCCTTTGCCATAGTAAGGTGCTTAAGCCAAAAGTCTAGTAGCCCAGATGCTGTAGAGGGGATGTTTAACGCTATAAAATCTGTGATTGGAGGTTAGTTTTTTTTGAATATGCATATTTTCCTTGACGTTATAGTCAGGTAGACTGTCATATAGACAGGTTGTCCAATTTCATATTGTTTATTTCTTGTTTAAATTTATAATACGCTTCCTGTGTATTATCTTTTGATAATAAAATATTTGATTTTTTCCTATTAAAAAAAAAAAGTCAGGTAGACACTAATAAATACTTCATTTTGCAATACATAAATTTGGATCACCTTCTTACAAGGTTAGGATACGAACAGGTTCAGAAGGAAGACTTGCATTCCCCTATCAGAGAGTCGGTATGATCAATGCATTGCAAGAAATTTCCAATGCCCCTGAAGGGAAGTACCTGAACAGCTTGTCACCAACTATATGTGGATATCTTTTATCCTTATACAAGGATGATGGTAGGCCTTTGACTTTGGATCTATGCCCCTGTTTGGGCTCTATTTTTCCGAAAATACATTTTTTCAAAACTCATTTTTCAACTACACACTCTCCCATAAAATAATGTTACATGTAAACCCAAAAGTTTTACTTATTTTTTAATGTCACATTCTCCAAAAAATACCATTTGACACATTTCCCAGCAAAATCTCATTTTAATGGAGCCCAAACAAGGGCTATAAGCGTGTGTATGTTTATCTGCTTGTTTTATGTACTTGCTTTCAGCATAATATTCTGCCTTCATCTATCTGATGGGTTTTGAACTCCGTTCTTTTTCATTGTTAATCGTGGTGATATCCAGGTAATGAAGAGGTAAAGCTTGCAAGTTTAACGTGTTTAGGAGCTTGGGCAGTAAAATCCCCAGATGCTATATGCCCAGATTTGATAACCTTCTTTGCTTCTGGGATCAAGGAGAAGGAAGTACTGAGAAGGGGTCACCTTCGTTGTCTGCGGGTAATATGCAGAAAGACTGATGCAGTTATACAGGTGAGGAAACGTGTGTTTATAATCTACAATAATTTTCCTGGGATTCTGTATATTTGTCAATACAGAAAGTTGAACGTTTTTGTGTTTCAGATGTCATCTTTGCTGCTGCCTCTTCTCCAACTCGTTAAAACTGGTTTTACTAAAGCAGCTCAGCGGCTGGATGGGATTTATGCGTTGCTCTCTGTGGCAAAAATTGCTGTTCTTGATGTTAAAGCAGGTATTTTTACTTTGCTTGCTTCAACTTTGTACATCTATCAGTTCTACCGTCGTTTTGGCCATTACATTTGCTTATCAAGGGGTTACTATTATATTCTCTAACATGTACTATTTTTCATTTGTTTGGTCCTCCTTTTTGGAAGATGAAACTTTATCAAAGGAAAAGATTTGGCAGTTGATATTGCAAAATGAACCTTCCATCGTTCCGATTTCAATGGTAAGTTATTCACCATTGTTGGATTTTATGCACAATATTAAAGAGATGAAAAAGAAAATCAACACAAGAATTTATGTGGTTCGACGGTGTGCATACGTCCACGAGAGCGAAGGGAGATATCTTTATTCAGTAGTGAAAAATAGGGTTATAACATATTATTTATATTAACCCTAGCCTGGGCCATATAAGACTTTAAGGCCGTACAGTAAATACCCCTGTATGAGTCACATGTACAACAACCATTCTTTATTCCATTAAATTTCAGAAGTCTGCAACTCAGGCATATGAATCTGAACAAATATAAGATTCTTGCTTTGGGTTCATAGTGACACATTTATCATTCTTAACCCCTGTTTGGGCTCCATTTTTGATAAAATGCATTTTTCTTTCTTATGTTCCACAGACATTCTCAAACAAGATGATATTTCACGTAAACCCAAAACATTTCCTTATTTTCTAATCACAAATTCTTCAAAAAATCATTATTTCAAGGTACATTTTCCCCTAAAATCTATTTTTAATCAAACCCAAGCAGGGGCTTATTGTGTACGTTTGCAGTGACATATAAACCTGATACAGTAGAACTGAATTAGACACTGATTGGGAAACTTGATATTGGATAGCCCCAAACAGAAAATTCTGGATATTTTGCATGCATCAATATCTGTTGCCTGATTATATCAGGTTGTAGTATGGTGAGCCTTATAAAAATGCTTTTTATAATTGTGTGAAGAGTTACCAATGATCATTATAGGAAGACCAAGGTTGGAAGATCATGCTATTTAGAATTGCTCATGGCTAAAAGGGGCATGCAAAAAGTTAAAATTCTTTTCCTTAGATAGGTATATGATGCAGATAATGCAAAAGTGAATTAATAACATCCTTATGTATGGACATCTTTGAAGATAATATTTGATGCAGATATGAAAAGGGACAATCAAATTTCGCTTTGCATTTCTTTGCTTCCTTGTAAATCCTAGAATTTGTTTTACTTTGCCTTGCAGGCATCAAAAATATCAGCTGAGGATTGCATGACTTGTCTCAACCTTTTTGAGGTTCTGCTTGATGATTATTCTCAAAGGTTTGCCACATTCCATGTCTGATAACATTGTTATGTTGTTATCCTCAAAGAAAAAAATCTTATCCTTTTTTGATTCATCAAAATGTTTAATTCTTACTCTACTCATTTCAAACTTAAAAGTGTCCTAATTTTGATTTGGCATGACCTGATGGAGGAGTCCTCATTTAAATAGTAATGCAAGAGTGAGGTTTACATCTTGTCTCTTTAAAATCACTTTCCTGAAATTCTCCATGTACATGTGGATATGGTAAATCTTTTGAGGCATGTAAAATTCAAAATTGATAGTTGTCCGTCTTTTTTGTGAAATGTCATCATTCATCTTCGTGGGTGATTGTTTTTGCCCTTGGGAAGTTTTTCGAGAGGAAGTCTAAAGTGAAACAGAGGAAGGAAAGATGTTTACTATTGCATGTGAAGATTTATGATTTGATTGTTAAATTAACTGTTGTCTTGCCCTACAGAGTGTTGGAGATTTTTCCTCTGAGACCACTACTGCAGGTGATCAGTATTGTCTGTGCTAATTCTGTTTACGATAATCTTTTGGTTACTAACCGATGCTTGGTATGTTTCAGTTTGTTCTGTTTTTGGTGTGCCATCCAATCTGGGACATCCGAAAAGCAGCCTATGATGCAATTGGAAAGATTCTTGTTGGTTCTCCACAATTATCTGAAGCTATTATGCTTGAGTTTGCAGATTNTTCTATTTTGCTGCCATGATTGAGATGGTGAAAAGAATAGGGTAATGGATAAAATGTGGTTATTACTGTTATACTTAACTTATGTTGCTGGAATCTAGAGGACATGATAAAGTGGAGCACCTTGATCAATGTGATGATGCAATGAGATTTGGAAAGGAAAGGAACTTTTTTAATAGCAGTCAGCCTCAGTTTCCTTGTTCAGACAGACTTAATAATACTGGGGAAGCCTGCGATTGTGATGATTATTCTAGGTTACTTGAAAATACACGTTAGGTTAGGTATGTTGGTGGACCAAGGCGTGGTTCTATTTTGCTGCCATGATTGAGATGGTGAAAAGAATAGGGTAATGGATAAAATGTGGTTATTACTGTTATACTTAACTTATTTTGCTGGAATCTAGAGGACATGATAAAGTGGAGCACCTTGATCAATGTGATGATGCAATGAGATTTGGAAAGGAAAGGAACTTTTTTAATAGCAGGACTATTTTTTTGACCCAAAAGGGGGTGCTGGTTAAAAAATAATCATTTGATTTTTTTCCCTTACTCTCCCTTAGCAGTGGGAAAGGAGTCTATCTATCTACCTAGCTTTTGGTTGGTTTTCCCCCAACTCAATCCTATTAGGGATTCTATTATAACACAAAGAATTGAGAAATTTGTGGGGGCAAATTGATACCTCAGTTGAGTGATGCTTATATTCTCTATTTTGCTCGAAGAGTATCAGCTTCCATAATGATTAATCGTGATCTCAAATATATAGGAAGTCACTGTATGCTGTTTATAACCCTTATGTGCTCTGTTTACATGTCTTTGGTGGTTTTCAAAGGCCTCTCATATTCTCGATTTATATTGTTGTATGATCAGCTGTCTTTACTTTTGGTATCATATTAATTTTGCTTATTCTTCATTTAAAACTTTCTGCCTTGTTCCCAGTTATTTACACTCTTTACTGCCAATAGTAACATACCATTGGGTTTCCAGTGATACAGAAAATTTTGTGGATACTCAAGTTCCCTTCCTTCCATCTGTTGAGGTTCTGGTGAAGGCTTTAGTTGTAATATCACCTGCAGTATTGGCTGGTAGTCCAAATGCCTGTGTGCAGATTCTGTTTTGCTCACACCATCCATTTCTTGTTGGTTCTGCAAAAAGAAATGCAGTGTGGAAGGTATCTTTTCTATTTTTCCAAGATTCCTAATAACTGCCTCCTTTGGCCTTGTCTAGTTCCAATGCTCTTATTAGCTTATGAGTTAAGGAAGTTATCTTAGAATGTACGATACTCCCTTTATATCAGATTCTAAGGATCTCAAATTTTACAATTTATATATAGCAAAATACTTGGATATTTTTTTTAATGATGTTTATTAATTAAAGCATTCTATTTATAGTCATGGATGATAAGACATTCTCTATCCACTATGCTAACAATGAAGATGGAAGTATTTCTTTGCAATTGAAATTTATATTGGAACACCTTTAAATCCCTTAGACGTGGATGCAATTAATGTTGCTATGAATTTCTCTTTTTAGATAACTCAAAAGTAACTAGCTCTTTTTCTTTAAGATTACTGCTATTTCTTTGAGCCCAATAGAAATATTGCTTTCCTAACTGCAACTTAAATATGATCTGTGCTTGGCAGAAGCAGGAAATCTTCGACTTCATTGACAATTAAAATTTATGTATGAAGTGGAGAATATTCCAATTTGACTCACCATTAGCACTTGTTATCTGCTATATTTGTTCATTGTACATGGTATAAATCTAAGTTACTATCTAATTTCTCTTTGCTCTTTCTTTCTGCCTTTCTGAAAGTAAAATATGCTAATTTTATAATATTTGGTATTTTTAAACAATGATCATCGAGGCTTAGAAACAGGCGTTCGTTCTATGATCTTTATTTTCTTTTGACTTATATCCCTTCCTTTTTGTCAGAGGCTGCAAAAATGTTTGCAAAAGCTGGGTTTTGATCCTGTTGGTCTTCTTACAGCAAATGTGGCTGATTTATGCAAGGTGAATTATATACCATTTTCCAGTTACTTGCTGAATTGTCTTCTTCACTATCATTTCCTCCTTTTATGTGTGTTCTGATCATTACCAGGTTGCAGACATTCATATGTTTCAGATTCTTCCATTTTCATCTTATATAGTATTTCCCTCATCCAATTATTGAACTATATTTTCAATACCTTAGCATTTTAGATGCATTTTTTAAGAAATAAGTTTTGATTGCTTTTATGTTACCTGTTTTCCTGCAATTCAATTTTCAAGGTATATTTGGTTGTGAGCGTTCCATTGCAATTTAATTTGACAGACTTTTATCCGTCTGACTTTTATCCGTCTGATGAGGCTTAACTTGTTCTACGTTGTTAGTAAAGATAGAGAGAGAAGCAACAACTTTAAAATGGCTTGATTTAGACATTGCAGTATAATGAATATCTCATTGTAACCCTATCCTTTTTGGCAAGTGATGACGTTAACATCAATGTTTTACTTGCCAGAATGCATTAAAATTTACAGCAGCAATGTCTGTTTCAATATCTGATCTTGACTTCTTTTTGTTCTTGAAGAGCTTGTTAGGTATGAAAGGATTGATGAGTTCTAATAACCTTGAACAAGAAGCAGCTATAAATTCCCTGTCAACGTTGATGTCTATAATACCAGGAGATACCTATGCACAGTTTCAAAAGGTTCACCGCATGTTTCGGTTATCTGCTGTTGGTTTTGGTGACATGGTTTGTTAGTGCTGGCTGTAACTCTATTCTTGTCTTTGCCAGCATTTAATTGATCTTCCAGATCGCTTTGAACATGACGCTCTCTCAGAAAATGATATTCAGGTGAAGTTTTAATTTACTGATGCAGTCCTTTACTGGTTCCGGAACCCAAAACTATTGTGGTTTGTAGTTATTATTTGGAAGCTGTTTTTTGTAGATTGAATGTTAATCATAATATCACAAACCTTGGAACTTAAATATCAGTAATTGCAATCCAAATTATGGGCCTTTTGGTCCTTAGCGAAGGTGATTGATCTGTTACCTCTGTTCTCAAGAATTAATTGTCGGTTCTCTGTATCTTTAGACGTAAATTTGCATTGGTTTTCTCTCTTCTGGATTAGTTGTCTTCTGGGCTGTTTTGTAGTTTTTCTTCTTCTTTTCTCTCTCATTTTATCCCCATTGTATATGTGATTGCTATCCTTAAATTAAACCTCAATTCTTTCAAGTCCACTAGTATTTTCTTCATTTTCACTGATCACGTTGAAGCAGTTGAGCTATCTTTTATGTTTTCCAATTCCTGCTGCACAACCCTTTATGAACCCCATCCTTGGTCTTTAGCAAGTGGGGCCATTCAACTCCCTAAAAAATAAAATATGCACGGGCTGTTACTTCATGCAAAGTGGTGACTAATGCTTTGTATTGTGGATTCAGACTTATGGCCTGTACATGTATCTTTTATCATCTTAAAGTACATTCAGGCCCCAGCATTTAAGTTCCATATTTTTCTATTTAAAATTGGATCGATTTCTCATAAATTTCTATTCCAAGAACCCAATTCTATGCTCCCCCCTTCCCCCCCCCACCCCCCC